AGCACATGAAAGAGTGAGAAATATTATACCAAGAGTATAAGGGAGACAAAATAACCATACATAGTTATATAACTAAAATATTTAAGATAACTTAGTCTGAACAAATAATCATTTAAGTAGCAAAACTGAGATTATGTAAATAAATAACCATAATCACGGTACCGAACAGAACAGAACAGAGGTCATAGGAGTGACAGTCAGAACAGAGGTACGGATTTAAGAGGTGGCTCGTACGGATTATAGAGGTGGCTCCCACAATAGTGTAGCACTTATCTCCGCACAGCACTTTGCTCCACACAGAACAGAGGTCAATAGATTCATGACAATAAAGGACCGCAAAGTGACCAAACAGAGGCCAATGGTTATTTAAGTCCCTCAAGACGTGCGACTCCCGTGATGGTACTTACAAAACATATTTGTTTATAAGGTTACGGTCAAATAATCATTAAAAGTTAAACAAATATATCTTTGGGTTTTATTTTAACAAATAGAGTTCAGAAAATAACTCACGTAACTAAAATATTAATATAATTTATAATAATTTATAAAACATAACTTGTATAAAATAAATATGATAAGTTAAAACATATGTAAAATATATTATGGTGACGTAAGATATAATATAACTCACCTTAAAAGTAATACCTTACTCTTTCTTTCTACTATCAAAAACTCTTTCAACTTCTATTATTTTTTTTCTCTTTTCTTCCTCTCCTTTTCCCTCATTCCTTCATTTCTCTCTTTTTTTTCCCTTCCTTTCTCCCCTCTTTTCTTTTTCTTTCTTTTCCTTTCTAGGGGAATCACTTCCTTCCCAAATAGGGAGGAGAGAGTATACGTGGCCCGTGTATCTTCAAAAGATTTGATTTATAAATTATGTAGATTTATATTTGTCTTTAATAGATATTTAAGATAATTACACTTTAACTCAATTTCTTAATATAACTATATAAATAAATTAATTCCTAATTAAATTACATTCTATCATATATCAATAGAAAATTAATTATTTATTTTATTACCACACCCATTATTATTATTATCAATATTATTATTTATTTATTTACTATCTTTAACTTTAATATGGCCCATTAGTATTATAATTTCATATTTCTGTTAATTTGGCTCGGAATAATAATCTCTAATTAATCCCGTATTTAATAATCCAATGCCAAATTAGATTCTGTATTTATTATTATTTATTTAACAATATATTATCACATACAACTATAATACTAGTATAAAATTTAAGAGACAACTTAAATTTTCGGGTTGTTACAGGTTGAGTTTGAAGTAATGTGGTAGAGATGTGATGTGACTTAAATAAGATGATGTGATTTAAATAGGATAGTGACTTTTTCACTTTTTGAATTTTTTGAAGGATGCCAAACTTGACCTTAGTTTTGTTCAAAAAAAAGTATGAGGTGTGTGTAGCGAGCTCTGGGTGACCCACGTGGTCCTGATCGGACAGCATGAGGGATGAGATGAGTGTTGACTGGCCAAGTTCCATCACTGACAAAACCAAAATAGATATATCTAATTTATGAGTGACACGTGTTATTTTTCCAAGTGCTCCCTTATTTTTTCTGTTGAAAACAATAGAAATATTAATAATTTAGTACATATTTGTTAAAAAAAAATTAAATCAATGTTAAATTTTTTAAATTTTAATAATTAAAACTATAAAATTTTCTTTGATATTTTACATTGGCTTTGTTTGGAAAGTTAATTATTTTAGTTAATTTTAACTTGATTAAAATAGTTATTTTTGAAAAGTTAATTAGTTTTTTTTAGTTGATTTGATATTTGTGTGGCAAAAAATAAAATAATTATTGATTGAAGGTAACATTTTATTTTATTAATTATTTTAATTTATTTTATTTTTTAATGAGTTATTTTAATCCAATTCTCTTTCCAAACACACTCACTATCGTTGTGATGGTCCTCAGGGCTGTTTGGTGTACTACTCAAAAAATAAAATTTATTGTTTATTATTTTTATTTTTAGATATATATATATTAAATTATGCCAAAATGATCCTCAGGGCTGTTTGACTCTTTTTAAAAATTTAAATTTAACCTTTTTTTTATTTTTTAAATCTGTCTAATCAAATAGAACCTAAAAATTATTAAAAAAAAAAAAAAAAAAAAATCCTTACATAGTTATATAACTAAAATATTTAAGATAACTTAGTCTGAACAAATAATCATTTAAGTAGCAAAACTGAGATTATGTAAATAAATAACCATAATCACGGTACCGAACAGAACAGAACAGAGGTCATAGGAGTGACAGTCAGAACAGAGGTACGGATTTAAGAGGTGGCTCGTACGGATTATAGAGGTGGCTCCCACAATAGTGTAGCACTTATCTCCGCACAGCACTTTGCTCCGCACAGAACAGAGGTGAATAGATTTATGACAATAAAGGGCCGCAAAGTGACCAAACAGAGGCCACTGGTTATTTAAGTCCCTCAAGACGTGGGACTCCCGTGATGGTACTTACAAAACATATTTGTTTATAAGGTTACGGTCAAATAATCATTAAAAGTTAAACAAATATATCTATGGGTTTTATTTTAACAAATAGAGTTCAGAAAATAACTCACGTAACTAAAATATTAATATAATTTATAATAATTTATAAAACATAACTTGTATAAAATAAATATGATAAGTTAAAACATACGTAAAATATATTATGGTGACTTAAGATATAATATAACTCACCTTAAAAGTAATACCTTACTCTTTCTTTCTACTATCAAAAACTCTTTCAACTTCTATTATTTTTTTTCTCTTTTCTTCCTCTCCTTTTCCCTCATTCCTTCATTTCTCTCTTTTTTTTCCCTTCCTTTCTCCCCTCTTTTCTTTTTCTTTCTTTTCCTTTCTAGGGGAATCACTTCCTTCCCAAATAGGGAGGAGAGAGTATACGTGGCCCGTGTATCTTCAAAAGATTTGATTTATAAATTATGTAGATTTATACTTATTTTTAATAGATATTTAAAATAATTACACTTTAACTCAATTTCTTAATATAACTATATAAATAAATTAATTCCTAATTAAATTACACTCTATCATATATCAATAGAAAATTAATTATTTATTTTATTACCATACCCATTATTATTATTATCAATATTATTATTTATTTATTTACTATCTTTAACTTTAATATGGCCCCATTAGTATTATAATTTCATATTTCTGTTAATTTGGCTCGGAATAATAATCTCTAATTAATCCCGTATTTAATAATCCAATGCCAAATTAGATTCTGTATTTATTATTATTTATTTAACAATATATTATCACATACAACTATAATACTAGTATAAAATTTAAGAGACAACTTAAATTTTCGGGTTGTTACAGGTTGAGTTTGAAGTAATGTGGTAGAGATGTGATGTGACTTAAATAAGATGATGTGATTTAAATAGGATAGTGACTTTTTCACTTTTTGACTTTTTTAGAGTACCCCAAACAAGGTTTAAGTGTGAAGACATAAAGATAAATAAAATAAAGTATACGTTTTAGTATAAAAGAATATTTCCCTTTCTAAAAAAAAATGAACTAAAGCAAAAGAGAATACATATATATATATATACAAATGACCAATTTTATTAATAAATAAATCATACTCAAAACAAATGATCAATTTTATTAATAAATAAATTCTTAAGTCAATTAACAATTTTTAATAAAATGAAAATATCTTTCAGGTAACTATTTTGTTAGTAAATAAAGTATTAAGTCAATTAACAGTTTTTAATGATATGAGAAATATTTTTCAATGAACAACTTTGATAGTTTATTATTGCGTAGGAGAGTAGTTATTTATTTTTTCTTCTGATCGTTGGGTTAAATTAAAATTTATAATAAACGATAGTTGTAATTTATATTATTATAGGACTAATTCATATTTTAAACAAAAATTGCAGGTGTATTTGTAATTTGTTAAAAAATAAAAGACTTATATTTTACAATTGACCAAAATGTTTGCATATCTATGAGAAAAACCTTCAAATTGTTATATCATTAGTAAATTATACAAAATAAAAGAGTACAATAAGAAATTTCCAAACAAGTTAAGGGCAAAATAGGCAACTCAAAACAAACATTCCCAACCAAAGCGACCAAAATGTCTTGCATACAAATTGTTTCACCAACCAACCGAAAGACAAAATAGCAATTTCAAAATAAGCTTAGAGCAAAATAAGAAATGAAATAACAAGCCATAGGAAAAAAAAAAAACTTCTTATATATATATAGATATAAGTAGTTTATATATATATTTAACTTAGTATTAGAATGTAAATGAAATTTCAAAAAAAAAAATAAAAAATTCAAAGTAACTTTAAAAGTTAAAAAAATAATTTTTTTAATTAAGTACAAAAATATCTTCTAAATAAATTAGGTTAAATGGTAGTAAATCCTTTTTTTGGCAATTAAAAAATGTGATTTTAATTAGATTGAAAAATTAATAATTTTTTTTTATAAAAAAATACTTAGAAGGAAATTAAGGGTATTAATTTCATTTCATCATTAAATCTAACGGAGCTAATATTATATTTTAGTTTAAAATTATATAGAGGTTCTTTGCCTATATTTTTGCCCATATTTAAATTATAAAGAAGTAATGTGCTCCAACAGTCAATTATAGAAGGAAAAAATAAATTTTACTCAAAAAAAACAAAAACAAAAACAAAAATAAAAAACAAAAAAGGAATTGGTACCCTTTAGGAGTGTTGTAAATTCCAAATATACCTACCAAATAATATTTTAAAAAAATGAATTGAAAAAAACAGAAAAAGAGCTGGCCCAGATCCCACTACCCCCAAAAACATCCAAAACCAAAAAGAGAAAATGTAACCCTACTAGCTTTACAAACATGATAACCACTATGTTTTTTGGTTTTTTATTTAATTTTATTGTCTTTTTGTGTATAAAAAATATAAGAAGTGATATAATTCAAGATAAATTAAAAAGTTAAAAGTTAACTTTTAACTAACTTTTTAATTTGCCCCAAAGTCATCCCATCTTGTATTATATAGACTTATATGCATGCTTCAATCAGAGCACACAAGACATCATTAACTTCTTGAGTTACTGAGAGAAAATCAGAGAGAACAATTCTTCATTTTTACTCAAGAATGGCAGCTCAAATGGGTAGCTTCATGGCCAAGACCTTGATCCTAATGCCCAATTTCAAACCCTATCAGCTCAGAAATATTATTATGTAAGTTGAACTTTTAATTGTTGGTTCATATAAATCTCTAATATTATATATACAGCCACATGATCTCCCCTAAAATGCTTTGTTGCTGTCCTTTTTCTTTGTTTTCTTTTTTTTTTTTCCCCAATAACATGGGTATATGTTAGAGGATAAACCGCTAAACCTATCTATGAATATAAAATTTTATTTTTTTTTCCGGTACATATTAGATTGTAGATCAGATGAGGAGAGTCTTGACAAAACTTGAAACTTTGATCATGTAGAGTTTGAAATAATTAAACTAGCCCCAATTAATTCAAGTCATACCAATTTGCTAAATCTATTGGTATACATGTTTTTTTTGTTTTTGTTTTTGTTTTTGTTTCGGGCATTATCATTTTCCTCCATTCATGCTAAACTTTCTTGTTGCTTTTAAGTCATTTTCTAGCTCAAGTTATTCAAGGTTTAATATATTGTCTCATTAAACCATGTTCATGGTATATATAAATATTTAAGTTTTATTATCTTAAGGTTTTAAATAAGTCAATTATTCGGAGATTGCAACAAATCAGGTATGTATCTCTGTCTTAATATCATCGGTGGTGTTGGGTTGCTTTTATTCTCTTGTAGTTGGTGGAAGTTGGGGGTGTTAGGACTAAATCGGTGGTTCTGTTAGTTTTCTTTGTATGGTGTGTGGCTGTTTGTTTTTCTGGGTGGGGTGTAGTTCTGTTGTTTTGTTTGGTTGTCTTCTTGGATGGTGTCTCACCATCCTCGTGTGCTTTTTTTCCTTTTTTGTTGATGTTTTCATCTATATTGTTGAATCTTCATCAATAAAGTTGATCTTCTTTGCTGATCAAAAAAAAAAAATGATTCGTGTGTATTTAACAAGTAATCTGGCACTGAAAATATGTTTTTGTTTATTTACTTTTGTTTAATAATTTTTCTTTTGGTTGCAAGATGTGCCAAGGGGTCAGAGAACACAATAAAAAAGAATAAGAGGCCGGGTATAAAAACGGATCCACCACAAAACAATGGTATTGGCAAAGGAAATAGTCTCACCAACTCGGTTGCTGAAGGAGGAGATAATATTGGCAAAACTAATGCAGATGATGTAAACGCCATGAAAAGCGAATATGCAAATAACTAATAACTTTGTTAGCTAGTGATGATTGTAGCTATATTAATGCATGGCCATTGTTAGCTTGGAATAAGCTGCTTAGTTGGTGTTGCTTAGTTAGATTTCTCTTCAATCAGTTATTGTATCTCTAATGGTATGCTAAATTTGTGTTATAAAATATGTTATGTAATAAAAAGTACGAAAAGTGAGACTTATCAAGTGTTTTTAAATTCAGCAAGTGAACGCATACTTTAAGGTCATGTTTGATTCATAAGATTAATAATGACGTATTAATAATCTTATCAAATTTGTATTGTATTATCTAATTAGATTAATATGACAAATTATTCATTAGATTAATAATCACACCCCTATCCCATTACTAATAATCCTACAAATTTATTGGATTAATTATTCATTGGATTAATAATTCTAAACCAAAATGTTAAAGCAAACATAGAATAATTGAGCTTACGGATTAATAATCTTAATCCCATACTCTAATCCATCCTATCAAATATACTCTAATGGTATAGTTAATATTTGTTACATGAGTATAAAATTAACTCAAGTGTGTACATTATTTATATATATAATAATTTTGTCATTTTAAATGTTCGGTGACATTATAGTGTTGTTTAAAGGACATAATGTCCGTAAAAAATATTTATAAAAAAGTTAAAAATATTAAATATTAATAATTAATAATATAATGTCCGGAAATAATTAATAATTGAGGATATGGTTAATAACATAATTAATAATTGATAAATATTAATTATTAAATTCAGCATATAGTATATTAAGATTGGGTGCAAAAGGTTTATTAATAGTTAATAATTGAGGATTAATAGGAGGAATTACTTCGAAATTTGTTTGAGTGGGTGACTCGTGTTGTCATCAAGAAGATGTGTTTGTGTTGAATAAGCGGGCTTACTAATTTGAGATGTAGAGAAATTATCTATACCTTTTGTAGCTTGACTTTTTGTGCCCCTTTTCGAAAGATGAATAAGTCCTACAGTATCGGACTCTTGCGGTTCTGAATCTAATCTCACAAATGCAATGCGAAATAGACAAATACCAAAGAGTCCTAATCCAGCAAATCTTTTAGAAAATTGATTTTGAATTAAAAATGCCAAAAATGGATTGCTTTGCTAAATATAGAGTCGCCACCTAAATATTTTTGAAAAATTTAGGAAACCCATGACTCGTGCCAAAGGCCACGTGTCCGTCATCACCAAGATTGTTTCGATTCGGGAACTTAGGTACGAGAGGGGAAGGTCATGAATGGAGCACTCCCACTCGTTCGATCAAAGATCGGCCTCTACTAATCATGATATGAATCTTATGTACATTATATGCTCTCATTTCGATTGTTAGGCTAGCATTATTATGTGATGCGCACACACAAGTATAAAATAAATTGCAAGAATTGAAACATTTGGCTCATGTTTTTTTGTAAAATTGTTTCGAATATGTACCACTTGAAAAGTGATCGCATATAAACATTATTCAAATCATTCCAATTCAAGCAACTAGTCTCCATCCACAGGCATTCAAGCAATTTATCACTTAAGCATTTAGCATCATAGCAAGCATGCTAGACATGACAACAATCACACATATGTGATATGTTAAAACGAGTAAAGGCTCACCTAGTACTCTAAGCCAAAAACAGTGATAGAGTTAGAATAATGCATGATCATATCTTATGCATTATGACTAATGCAACACATGCGATATGCAATTAAAATAAGCTCGGATACTAGCATAGTATATGAATCAATTAAATAACATGTGGTCTGAGCACGCATTCAAAAAACCTTTTAAACTAACAATGCAAGTTAGAATGATGAACCGAGTCTCGGTGCATGTAATACAAGTGGATACAAACATGAAAAATGCTAATCAACACATGATGTTCTGATCTAACCATCGTAAGTAATTAAATAAAAGGGAGAAAGATGTGGGATTGGAAGACAAACATTATTACAACATTGCCTCCTCACACAGGAGGGTCCGAATGAACTAACTAGCCAACTGATAAAAGCTAAGCTAATTATTACAAAACAAATTAAATTAGCTAAATTACTTAACTAATTAATACAACAACAAAATAATTAACTATTTTAGCTGACCAATTATTACAAGACAAAATTAGTTAACTAATTGAACTATTTAATGAATACAACATTAAAAGTGTACTAAGCTAGCTTTTTTAGTTGCTCTGCCTTAGGAAACGAAGAATGCTCATGCATGCACGGACTTTCCACTCGAAAAAGCCACTGTTTCTGTTGCCAAATTCCTCTGTTTCGCAGTAGATCACTTGCACTGATTTCCACCTCAGAACCTGTTCTATTCTTCTTCAAAAGTACACTGTTGGATTTTGTACTGGTGGCCGGCACATGGCCTACTGTCCATTGAAGGTGGTCTGCCGGCCACCAATAGTGGTTTGTCGGCCACTGATGACTGGACTTTCCTGTTGCAACAGAGAGCAAACAGAGCAAAGACAGGGTATTCTCAAGGGTTTGTTTGCACAACTCATCCCTCCTTATCATTTGAACAACTCAAAGGAATAACAAGTTTGATTCACAAACCACCAATGAATGCAATTTTAATGTATGATGGCTTATGAACCAAGTATGCAATTTAAATGAATGCAACAAAATAAGACTCTCAAAACCACCTCCCTATCATGAATGATCAAGGGGAGTAGTTGACAATGAATCTTGAATCATTTTCATCACTAATGAGTATGAAACGACTCAAGACTCAAGGGTCCATTTAACGTCCGATTGCACCCAAACCAAATTTTTTATCTTGCTCTTTTTATTCACCAATTTTATTACTCCATTTTAGTTACCTTTCAATTCTTTAATTAATTAAGTCCAAAAGTGAGTTTAAGTCCTCTAATGGAAAGAAGTGTCAAACCAAGAGTTGGTTTAAGGCATGAGAGAGATGCCATGTTGTTAATAATGAACCCCTAAAAGGGATTAAACCATTAAGCATGACAACCTCAATCTCAAGCTTAAAAGAATAATAGGTTTGAAACAAGTCTCAGAGCAAAGCAAAAGCCAAGAAAGGAGGGAGGTTGCAGAGGTGATTAAAGGTGATCACAAGTAAGGAAAGCATGAAATAAATACTATCAACTCAAATAGGTTGATGTCTAAGGCCTAAACCACCAAACGTATGAGGACAATTACACTAGAAGCATGCAATATAAGGCTCAAATACAATGAACCACTAAAAATAGTCATAAAACATGTTGGAATTAAGCTAACAAAAGCTAGAACAATAAGCTAAAAACATGGAGCATATTAAACTAGTAAGCAAGATACAAGGAGGGAAGGCTAACCCCTCTAATTTTGGACTTCAAAACATGTTTTTAGCTACTAAAATAACTCTGAAAATCAGTTTTTAAAAGCTCAAAAAAAGTGGACAAAGAGATGGGAAACACAAGTGTAAAGGCTTAGGAGACAAGGTGTAAAGAAGGGTGATTAACCCCTCTACCTTTAATAGCCTTAAACCACAAGCTTCAGCCCATAAAAACAGTCCAAAAATAGTTCAAAAACAACAAGAAAAGATGGGTGAGAAGTAGTGTAGAGATGTTCAAAATTATACCTCTTGAAGCAAGGTTACGCTTTTGCTCACAAACAAACAAGTTCTCACTCTCAAGGGCTGAAATTTGGACTCAATCATCTCAACAAGGAGAGCTCCAATATTGGTTTAGAAAGTGTAGAAAGAGGGTGTATAGGCTGCAAGATAAAGGTATAGACAGAATTTCAAGTTTTGAAACTTTTAGAATTTTTTGTCAACCTTAAACCATGAAGAAAGGCCTGGTATATATAGAAAAACAGCCCCTCAGGTCGAAAATATCATGCCTAGAACAGCTGGAGCTTTTGGGGGACAGTTGGCCAAAAATATCTGTGTTCTTCACTAGTGGACGGCAGGCCAGAAGTGTGAATTGCCGGCCACAAATAGTGGCATTTCGGTCATAAAAATCTACTTCCAAGCCCAACTTCAAATAAGCATATGTCGTTCATCTGAACTCGGTTTTAGGTCATTCTTGAGTCTAAATTGAAGCCTCAGAAGTCTACTTTCCAATGGGGATAGTCTCACATATAAATCCTAAGTGTGCAAAGAGATATACCTATTTTAGTGAATGTTGCTCATTTCTATCTTAACCGGATTGATGCCTAACTTCAAACAGCCATATCTCCCTCATCCGGACTCGACTTTAGGAGATTCTTGAGTCTAAAATGAAGTCCCAGAAGTACACTTTCTAATGGTGGTGGCCTCAAAACTAAAGTCTAAGTGTACAAATGGATATGCTTGATTTAGTGAAGGCTGGTCAATTCTCTCTTAACAGTTTCATGCCCAACTTCTTCCCCAACTAGTTTTCTTCTCTCTCCTCCAATTTTCTTTAACTCCAAACATATAAATAAGAGGTTTTAAAGATTTTTCAAAGAGTTCACCTCTCTTCCATTTATTTTCACTTTGTCCTTGCTTAGTTTATCGAAAATGCAACATTTAACGACATGCGAGTCTCGGAACATCGTAGAAACATTTTCAAAAATATTTTGAAAGAGAGGGTTTTAAGGTCCAAAATAGTTTTGGTCAAAATGGGGTGTAAGGTTTGGATTTAGAAGCTCTTTTTGCTGAAGAAATTGAACGTTTGTACAGCGTAACTTTCATCATCAAGTGATCAACTTGAGGCGCCCAAGTCTTAAAGGCGGTAAAAAATGGAGTGTCTACAGTTGACCCTCTTTAACGAAGCTCAAAGTCATGAAGTGACGTGAATGAATGTCAAAACCCGAAGATGACCCATTTTGACAAGGCCGTAAGACCTGGGCAAACAAACAAAATGCAGATGTAGTTGGTTGAACCCGAGGGTTGCTTATGTATTTCGTTACAAGGAATCAAACCAGCATAGTTCAAGGGTAGGATGCGAAATGATACACAATTGTAACGAAATAATACAAATGCTATGCAATGCAATACAATAATATAATCAGACCACAAGTAGTGCAAAACACATGAATACTATAAAGGGATAGAGATACAAAATCAAACTACGTTTTATATAGAAAAGAAGTGGGCACAGCCAAACGACGCCTAACAAACTACGTTTTATATAGAAAAGAAGTGGGCACAGCCAAACGACGCCTAACACAGGCTAAGTGCGTACATCCTCAATACTGGCCTCAGTGTAGTATGGATGCTTACACAT